TGCCATCACTGATGGCTCCCACTTCCTGCCACTTCTGCCAGGCAGAACCATAGATCCCATTTTCATGAATAGTCAATCCTGCCCTTCCTTCTCCCAACTTTTTTCTTACCTTTTTTTTTTTTTTTTAAATGCTGTGTAATACATTCCAGGTTTCACTAAAAATACTCGAAAGCTACCTACCTGTTCAGAACTCTCCAGTACTTTCCCATTTATATCTACACACTTCACCAAAGACCAAAGTAACATTTTTTTTCTTTGTGCTCAACGACAGAAATGCAAACTCTTCTTTTTCTTCTATTAGGGACAGAATGCTTAAACTGAGGAACACACGGACAAACAAATGAAATCTCCTCTTTTTTCATTACTCCCTTCTGACTCAAACCACAGATGCTTTATCACCTCTCTCATGCGTCCTAATGCCCCTCCTTGTGTTCTGTTCTATTACTAAGCTTCACAGCAGCACAGAAAGCTAAGTCACTTAAGACCATCAGGTCTAATAAATCAGGACAAGTTTAAGTCTTGCAATCTTTCTGTGCGTTCTCACCTAACTGAGAAATCACTACTACAGATTTCAGAGGCTGAGAAAATTCAGGAGCAATTAAATAGCTCTTTTCCAAGCTCCTATCAAGGAGGTGCAGTTGGTTGTTTGAAATTTCATTGCTGCTTGCACAAAACCGTTTTGTTGTTGATGCATGTAATACTTTTGCAGTTCTTTTTGATAATGAATTGTTTTCCATATCGCAACTCAGTCTCTCCTAAGTTTCACAGAAGTTCTCTACATATGAAACATACCAATTCCCAACAAACATTTACATCTGAAATAATTTAAAGCATTAAAAATTCTCTTTTGTCAAAAATCCTCAACTAGGTCCTCCATGTCCAAATAGTAAACAAGTAGTGTAATTTCACTCATGAGCTTTGATACCTTAAAAATACATCATCTGCCCTGACACCAGTTACATTCCAATACCAACTGGGTAAGAAAAACATTTTCCTGGTTGTCTGAAACAATTAACCCCAGAGCTGATTAGAGCTCTTTAATTAGAGAGCTCTGACTTTCTCAGCACAAACTGTTAAAACTGCTCAATTTTCTTCTTAGTAAGAGCACTGCACCATTTCCTATTCAGCTTTTAACTCCTCACTCATTTTTTCAGGGTCTCTGCATGCACCAGAAGCTCTAAAGCAGCACTGGGTTTATTCCTACCCTACTAACGCCTGCCCACTGCCTAGAGGGGCAAGACACCACCAAGCAACGAATCATTCACACAGCACTGTATTATTAAAACAAACAAACAGAAGTGGATGACAATTCATTATCACTAACTCAAACCAGATTGACAGAACAAGCTATCAAAACCAAACGCAAGACAGCGTCAGAAATATTTCTGTTTCATTATTTCAGAAGAAAGGACACACAAGAAAGCTACCTCCTCCTTGAATGATCAGAACAAATAAGACAAAGAAGTTTAGAAAAATTTTAGTGAGAAATCCCTTGTCTAGAACATGGCTTCAAATTAGATAGCAACTTAATATCAGAGGCAAATAGATAATGCTGAGAAACAGGCACAGAACCCAATTGCACAGGCAGCATCCAGACATGGCTGACAAAAGTAGCCTCTTATTTTCTTCAGAGCTTTCCAGCATTCAAGTATTTCTCTTATCAGCCTCAACCAACAGAACTGTCACCTGCTACCGCCTGCATTTCACCCAGCAAAAAAACAAGCTGATCTGTCGTGTACAAGGCCACCTGCCATTAAAAAAAAAAAAACACAACAGCAAAAGAAAAGCAAAATAAATAAGTTTCTTTTCCCTGAATTCATAACATAATGTAGATTGGAGATGATTTATTGTGTTGGAAGGCAAGTCAAGTCTTTCCTTGTTGATGCTGGGATCTCAAAGGGTATGGCGAGTACCCACAGAGCAAAACATGCAGTGATACGACATATGCTTAAGGACATGACAATTAGTATTCTTCAACACAGTTTAAACCTAACTTAATGTTGTTTTTTTTGTTTTCTTTTTTGAAACTTTAATAAGGTGCACATCTTCCTATTTATTTACACACACTGTGGTAGCTCCTACTCACACAATGGCTGTTTTTCCCCCAGCATTGTTCATTCAGTACACATCAGATCTGCCACAGAACCGAGGCAGTTAAGCATCACATATGCAATTAGGGGTCTCTGCTTAGATTACTGCACAGGATCTACATGATAACGAGAACAACAACGAACCACTTCCAGAATATCCACGCTTCTTAAACGTTGTCAACTACAACCCCCATACCTCCTGCAAAGAATGTGCATTGATACACATTAGCAAAGAAAATAAATAAATAAATAACATTTGCTAGGATCAAAGCCACGACTATGATTTACTGCCTCCTGAATCCTGCGCTCAAACCCACAGACCCAATGCTGAGTATCTGAAGCTCGCACTGACTTCGCTTTGATCACCGCTGCACACCAGAGCCCAGATGTCTGAACCGACACACAGAAAATGGGAAAACTCCCTATGAATAACAAGGAACCAAGACAGGCTCTCCACTATGGCAATCAGCACCTTCACCACAACGGCTGGCTTTCTCTTCCTGAATACTTTCTTCTATAATTTGGAAGAATAGCTACATTCATTAGATAGCATGAGTCAGAGTAACTTCTTGAACCAAGTCTCTCTTGTGCACATTTTCATTGCCTACCCTTCAGTATTTTATTATTTCTTCTGGCAGCGGTGGGTTTGTTGTTGTTTTTAAGGGAGAAGAAAGAGGAGGAGAACAGAACAACTATTCAATCACACGCAATGGCCTCCTCATCACTCCACTTCCATGTTAGCAGTACATTGTGCACCCCAGCACCCTCACACACAGCTGTGCAGACGTGAGCATCTCTTCCTAAGCAGCATGTGAATTACTCTGGCAGAAGTTTGTTAAGCCAGGAGGGAATTGATCTGTTAAACTGCATAATTAGCCCGGATAGAGCAGGGACATGGATATCAGAGTGTCAAACGAGAAAAGGTTGTGAACTCCAACCTCAGCTCTCTGTTCTAGGAGGTTATGTCTCCTTCTCCCTTTCAACACTGGAATCACAAACAACCAGCACGAATCCAAACTCAGGTTTCTCCCCTTCCGCTTGCCTGCAGATCCCCAGCACAGGGTCTGCAGCTGCTGCAGGAGCGGCCTTTCAGAGCACTGCCCTTAGGGAACACTCTGCTGCCAGCATCCTGCGAGCAAAGCAACAGCCATTTATCCTGCCTGCCTTTCGGCAGTGAGCCATCACAAGGGCAGCTCATTGAGAGGGGGTGGGACACGAATATCTGATAAATCCAGGTCCAGAGTCAAGCCGTTACTTTTTAAAATTTCAGATGCGTCAAGATAACAAAAGTTACCCCCAGCACTTGATCGAAAGGAAATGCCACATGAAATACAGCAGCGCTTAGCAGATTTCATAGGAGGTTTCCTGATGGTGATTAGCTTGTTGCTTTTTAAGATTTATCACTGTAGGTTTTATCAATTTGTTATGACAGGAGAAAAAAAAAAGATGATTTAGAAAGCCAGCCCAACGAGTAAAACAAAGCTGTAGCTGTGGTTAGACGTGACATAACCAAATGCTAAGGGCAGTACAAATGATTGCTTCTAACGTTCGTAAGGTGGGATTGATTATGAAAGCTACATCCCATATTATCATTTCAGCACTTGCAAAGCCACGAGACACAGTAAGCAAATAAAGCAAAGCAGCAACGGCCAGGCACGTGGATCTGCAACAGCCACAACTGTGAACAAATGGTGCTGGGGTCAGACTGGGTACCACAGGGATTTTGGCAGCACTGATGGCAGCAAGGTCCCAGAGCTTCTCAGAACAAAACACAATCAATACACAAATCCAGAGAGAACCAGCGAATCACAAAAAAGGGTCTTTTTTGCTGGTTTTAATGAGCAAAATGCTGGCTGCACAAGGTAGAAATGCTGACAGTGCCTTTTCACAGTGGTGATGCATGTCACATTCCTCTGAAAAAAAGAAGAGAGCCAAAATAACTAGAAAAGAATCTGTTCCAAAGGAGGACAGCCTTCCTGCAGCCCTACAGGTAAGATCTTTTGACTTAAAGCAATTAAAAAAAAAAAAAAAAAAGCAACCAATAAACCACAAAAATCAAATTAATACATTTCTAAGCACGTATCAGGAACATTCAAGCATCTGCTCACATTCTACCCAATGCGGCTTCTTGCTTCCCACATTTAAGAACTTACAAGACCATAATTTGGGATTTTTTTCCCCCTTCCTTTGTGCTTGTTTCCCAGTTCACATACACACCTTGGTGTGCACGCACTTCGATTCCACAGCAATGCTAACCATATGCCCAAAGCTAAGCATACATTACCTTCTCGGAGGCAGCTGGAAACAGAAATGCACACGCGGCACAGCCAAGCATATACTTCACCGAAACCCCAAATGGAGCCCGGGTGCTAAAAGAGCTTCAATAATTAACGCCTGAAACCGCTCCGGGATCCTCCGACGAAAGGCAATACGTCAAGGCAAACGTTAGCCTGCTCCTAACTCGAGCCCTAAAGGCTTCAGAACGCATCTACAAACGCGACGACGAACGCCTCGCGGTGGCCGCAGCTCCGCGCGTGGATACGGCGGCGGCCGGCGGTGATTCGGCGGCTCGGCGCCCGCCGAGGACGGCACCCCGCGAACGGCACCTCGCGGGGCGCGCCGCGCGCCTCCCTTCCCTCACCTCCCCTCCCCTCCCGCCTCGGGGCAGCCGCGCTATCAAAGATGGATCCCGCTCCGCTTGGCTCCTCTCTCGCAGCCTCCGCGCAGGTACGACACAGCCGCACCAACACGGTTCTGCTCCGCCCGACCCTGCGCCACAGCCGCTTATCTCCCCCGCCCCATTTCAATGCTTCGCGCAAACGGGGCTCCTCGGGGTCGCGCTCCCCGCGGAGGGAGAGGAGAATTCTCCTCAGGGAAGGCGGGAAGCGAAGGCAGGTCAGGGGCCGTTACCTGAGGCCGCCGAGGCGGGGGCTCCCCCCGGTAGCGCCGCTCGCTCCGGCTGCGGGCGGGTGGCGGCAGCCGCCATCGGCCGTCCCCTCAGTAGCAACAGCAGCGCCAGGAGCAGAGAGGAAAGCGGCCCGCGGGTCCCCGGCATGGCGGGCAGCCCGCGGGCAGCGGAGGAGCATCGCGAGCGAACACCGCACCGGGAGCTCCGGCCCAAGCGGCCGCTGAGCCCGCCCCTCCGCTACGTGTCGGGGCGGGGCCGCACGGAGGGGCGGCGCTGGGGCTGCGGCGTTCCGTTCGCGAGCCTCCACGGGTGGTGACCCGGCCGTATCCCTGGCATCGCCGCTCTTTCACATGAGTTTTTCCTTACATCCGAGCCCAGCCTCCCTCGGCGCACCCCGTCCTGTCGCTGGTGCCCGGGAGCAGAGCCCGCAGTGACAATGAGGTGAAACGGCTCTGGCAGCAGCGCCGGGGCCTCGCCGCCCTCGGACTGAACGGTGTCCATCATCTGCAGGGCTAAGTGCTGAAAGCGTGTGGGGACTGCCTCGCTGAGCATTTCATGACGGCACCGACGCGGCCGTGCCTTGATTTCAGAGAGGCAGGTGCTGAAGCTTTTCCATGTGTTGCTTCAGTAGTAAACGAGTTTCTTCAGAAGGTACAAAGCTGCTTTGAAATTTATTTCCCTTAAATTAAATAGTAGCCAAATAATGATCTTTATTTTAAACATAGTGAGAAGCCCGGCCAAAGCTTGGTGTTCAGACCTCAGATTTCTTCCATGTAGTAGAAAAGGAATGCAACAGAATACAAACTGTGGAAGAATATTTGTTTTCTCCACTGGTTACAAGTGTATTTTCTGGGGATTTTTTAACAAATCTAATAAAAATTAATATATTTTTTCTTATAATTTCATGTCATTCTGTGCAACATGGTTGCTTAATTGACATTAACAATGACTTCATAGAGATTTGGGGCTGTCACTGAAAATATAATTTTGTTACAGTTGCTGAGTTTGCTGAAAAATACGAATTCAGCCGTCTTGCCTTAAGGACAAATTGTGCTGCAGTGGGAAACTTAACGGCTGCCTCAACAGGTAAGATCCACTATTTTTCTTTGCAATAGTTTGAGTACATTGGGTCTCTCTCTTCTCCATCAACACCAAAAAATACATGCTATGGAAAGTATGTCTTCTGAAAGGATCTTTATTTGAACTAAGCAAAAGGGCACAGAACGCAACCATCATTTGGAAGTTTGGAGCTCTCCTCTAGCAGCTTACAAAGTGAAGAGATTCCTGTTTGCTCAGTGCCCATGCACCCAGGTAACATCTTGTTAACTAGCTTCCTATTCAACCTTTAACATGGGCAAAGTAAGAGGGCCTGCTTCCATGCCATTGTTGAGAGAGAGGAAAGGGATCCACAGAAAGCTAATTAAATGCTGTAAGCAATTTGTTACCTTTGTTAATCAATGTCTGATGAAGGGTGTGTGGTATTGGGTGAGCATGGATCAAGTAGATTTTCATTTCTAAATATTTGGGCTCTTAGAAAAAGAAAAGATAGACCAAGTTTAGTTGAAGATGGGTGGTCTAACCCATTTGCAGCTGCAGCTTTTTAAATTAACATTGATGGTCTGAATATGCGTAATTAATCTTTATGAAGTTTGAAATAAATCCATTAAGCACATGTTAAGAGATAATATTATTGCAAACAGTTCACAAAAGGAAGTATTATATGGAAATTTGGTGGTGGTATTGCATTTAGATAAACTTCTAAAAAGGCACTGGCATACCCTAGAAAGTACAAACAACATGAAGTTCAGAAAATAAGAAAAATCACAATCAGGTTTAAAGTTTCTTAGCCAAATTTTCTTCTTAAAAAAGGTTGTTATCTGATAGTAAGTAATTTATTTCACCTTCCTGAGTATTTATTTGAGGTAATACATCCTGCAGAAACTTCTGCAGTCTCCAAAGGTTGGCTTTATACTTTTCAAAATTTGAGTAGATTACAAAATATCTGCACATCATTAACCACTGCAGGGATGCAACTTGGCATCTGGTAATATTTTGTCAGAGACTGAAAAGCCTGTACAAAGGAACACAAAATGTAAATGCAGATATCTAATAGAAGTAACAAATAGACATGATCTGCATGTGAAGTTGTAAAGACAAGGTATGTATTTTTAGCTTCTTACATTCAAAGGTCTGTTACACATTTGGGCCCTACAGGGTTGGTCTTGGCAAGTCCTACACACCTGTGAAAGGAGGTAGTGGCTCAGCACCCAACGTGCAGAAGGTTTATCTGAAAGATGCAATAAAAGATTGTTTCTGGAATACCCTGTGTGTGTGACTATGGATTTCTAACAGCACTAATCCTATCTCTTTGTGAGAGAGAGTTTTTGTTTACACAAAAGCTAGAAAAAAAAAGTCTCATTTATCACCACAGTCTTGAATTACCTGAACAGGTAATTTTAAAATGCATTTATATATGCTTATATTTATTAATATACCAATAACTTAGAAACCCAGAGTATGTGAAGCAATATAACGAAGTTGGAGATAGTAGAGTTCCATTGGTGTAAATAACCTCAAGACAGGGACCATCATTTTCTTTGAGGTGATCATTGCATAAGATGGAAAAACATTGAACAAACACTCTGTCCTCATGTTGCTGTACAGATACAGCTCTTGTCATTAATTTCTTAATCATGCATTGTTTTGGAACTGTTATAGAGATATAGCAATCTGTATAGCAGATATATATAATCTGCATATCTATCTGTGCTGATAACTAACTGAAGCTATTCAAAACTAGGCCTACATCAGCTGCACCTGGTACTGATACAACACTCAGAAGCATGTTTCAGTTGCTGTAATAGTGCTTTGTACATGCTTAAACTGTAGCTATTGTAAAGGCACAGAATGCTGTTAAAACATAACTAACAGTTTTTCATTATTTCTGTGTCTTTTTGTCATTGTCTTTAAGCCAACAATTTCTCTACTAACAATCCAGGTAACCCAGTTTTGGAGTTTTTCCTCAAGCATTCACAAACGTCAACATTTAGTTCTAAAAAAAAGCAAATGTGCAATCAATGGAAAGTAAAAGTGTATACCTTTATCGTGACACAAAGTGTTTACTCACAAGGATGATTGTTATTTAGACTGTAATCCTAACACAAAGTTAGGCTAAGAACACAACGACAACAACCAAAAACAATACTTCTGAGACTTCTCCTGGGCAAAGAATGAGAACTGAACATTTTCTACAATGATGCAACAGCTACAGAATCTGAGTTACTTTTGGTACACAGAAATTTCTGTAAGAAAATTGGTTTGGTTTTTTTTGTGATGAGAAAATTCTTTCTGACCACATCTTCATTTTTGCTTGTGGCTATGAATTCTTTTGACTTGAGATTAACCTACTCTGTTTTACCTGAAAGTGTAGAAGTTACAAAAATACGACCTTTTCATGGTTAGTACGTCATGGTGATTGTAAACATATACAATGCAATACATGAAGGTAAATTAGATATATATTTTTAAAATAATCTAGGAAAGAAAAATGAAGGAAGCCATGATAGTTAAGAGGTATTTTATTCCAAAATTCTTAACATCAAAATCAACTCAAAATACATTTTTTTCAAACAGGTTATCCAACAATATTTTGAAATTGCATACACATATAGAAAAATACAACCTAATAAAATCAATTTTCAATTAAGATGAAAAGAATGCATTGAAAAGTAAACCATAGCTTAATAGCTATTTTTGATATCAGTACAAAATTACTGTGCTATAATATCCACTTTTTTTTTCAAGGTTTATAATTTAATAAAAATAAGGTGACTTCAAATGTATATTGCTCTCTTTAAATGTACCGAAGACCTTGGAAACAAGTTCATAGTTGCTGAAAATATTCCCATTCATTACAAATATTTACTACATAACTAAGAAACCCAAAACGCAGCAGTCTCATTAGTATGTTAATTTTCTGCCTGTGCAAACTATGCTATAATGATTTAATGCACGAGCAAAAAATCAATGACAAAATTCTATTACCAAAAAATACAACCTTACATTTTCAACATATTTATATCATAGCAAATACCAGTTGCCTTCCTGGACTAGAAAGGGCCACCTAAACCTGAAAACATCTTTTGAAGATGCTTTTGAAGATTCTGAAATGCTACATCAATTCTTCATTTTCTTTACAAAAGCCAAAGGTCAAGTTATTCAATCTTAATGAAGCATATCTGGAGAGGTCACTGCGGGTAATGCTTAAGTTCCTTGGGTTATTATTGAAAACTTTTACACAATGGAAAAAAAAAAAAAGACCAACGTTCTATGAAACAGCAGTAGCACTACAGACTCAAACCCATTATTGTACTGTCTCTAGACACATTTTCAAGAGTCGACTTAAAGAATATTGTACCAATTCTCAATAATTCAACATTTAGTAATGAATATAGGTTAGAATATACATCTTGTTTCACCCAATGTGGGTGGATCAACATCTTTGTACACCATTCATTTATCATTTCATTTCATCACACTAGTTTTGTTAAAGTTTTGAAAAATATTGACCGCTGCAAGTCAACAAATGCTACATCCCTTCCTAGACAAACAAAACCAGACATCTTGGCAGTGCACTAGTTCTGATCATGGTATATTGCACTTGGGAATGAGAAGGTAGAGATTCTGTACCAAAGAGCTCAGATCCCACTCCCATCTGTGAGAATCAGTAGAGCTCAGCATGGAATCATGCTCCAATGTATGCCATTTGTTTGTAATTGAAGGCCACTGCCACTACTTATGGGTTTACCCCATCACTCAAGTGAGCAAACAAAGAACTCTGCCTTCACCGTAATGCTTATCTGTGGTCTGCCAACTACTTTTTATACTGGACTTCCATTTTCATTTCATGAACTCCTTTGTTTTGTCTTCATTAACGTTGAACGTGAAGAGTATAATTGAAAGGCAACTGCAGTGAATGTCAGGTTTTCTGTCATTTCACTGGACTGTGGCTTGACACAGACCAAAGAAAAAAAAACTAACTGGATTTTCACCAGTGTAATGTTGCTCCATTGCTGACTATTTGGGATGGGATGGGATAAATACTTCAGGACCTAGGGATAACCATCAGTAGAGCTCAGTGTTGCAGAAAATTGAAGTGCAACATGAATCCTTTGAAGGACCAAGAATATGCTGATAAACAGCTAGAATATTCTGTAAATACTCATGAGAGTTTAGCTAAATGGCTGTTTAACCATAGACACAAATTGAGAAACATAAAAACATTGAAGCCTTTGCTTGGAATAAACTTTTTTTTTTTTTTTTAAGAAAGTACATATATAATAAACTTTCTTAAGAGTTTCATAAGCATTATATGAATCTAAGATCCACACGTCAATCACAATTTAGAACAGTGGAACAAGTAAAATGATAAACTTGGTACCAACCCCGTCGACATCTCTCAAATATTTCCATTTATGTTAATAAATGTCTGACTTTGCAGTCATGGTTAGACAAAAGCTATCTCAATTTGGTAGTGTTTCTTGGGAGAAACAACCTTTCAGTTAGATCCTCCTCTTCACATTTACATTTACAGAATTTCATTTTTCACTATAAAAGATAATGTTTCCATTGGCTAAAGAATTACGTAGTTCCTGATACTATATACATAAACATTTTGCTTCTGAAACATAACTCTCTGAAAAGAAGGCTAAGACAATTATTTGATACTGTATTTCTAGTGGCTGCTTCTTAATGCTTGCAGTATGCATCTTATTTGCATTAGTTTCGACTCAAGGGCATTAATTTCACTCCAAAATACATTTTTTAAGTTTATTTGAAAGTTTTAACATCTCTCTAAAATATGTGCTATAAGAATACATCAATGCTTGTATGCCACTGTAAAATTTATAGTGACACAAGTGCATGTGTTTTCTTTAACCATACTATCAAGTTTAAAATGCAAAATGTACATCCCTGCCTGTACATCCCTTCAGAAAAGTGGTCTCTTCAGAACCCTCCTGAAAGAATAACATGACTTGAAAGTGAATTTGGGATGTTATATCTATTGACATTCTCCGTATGCTCCATTTATGTATGCTACTTTTCTTTCTTTAACCAGTCCAAGTGGAAATTAATGGATATGGGAGAAGTAACTACTTGCATTTATTCTCAAATAGAACATTGGAAAATAAAAATTGTTTAAATAAGTGTTTATGTAACTTAAGTAAATGGAAGAAGCTTTCCATAGCTACAGTACATGTACCAACAAAATGTACCTCTTTATCTTGAACAGCAAAATGATTTTCCAGTTGCCACAGTAAAATTAAGACATAGTTAGCAATGACATTAACAGGGCTACAAAAACCCTTTCACGTCAGCTGAAGAAATCTTGACCATGTTTTGTTGTGCTGTTTTTCTTTTCTCCTCATCTCCTTATAGTGCCTAGACATGCGAGTAGTCTAAATAATTTCAAGTCAACCCGATATGTACATGTAAGGAAGAAACACACAAGAATTAGAGCTATGGATCTGTCTGGCAGTCCCTTAAACCTCTTAACCTGCTAAGTTTAAGACTGGGAAAAACAACCTTCTTGCACAGAGATAATTAATTGACAAGGTGTGAGAAATAGAAGCCTGCGTAAGTAACTACAGTTGTGTTTTATAGAATTCACATTTTGAAGCCAGGATCAAAGCCTGACTCCCAATTCCTTACTATATTACTAGTAACATTACTAGAAGCAAATGCAAAAGCATGACCTTGCTCACAATAAAGACCTGGGAAATTCAGGGAAAACAGAATTTTGCCCTATATTCTCTCAAATAAACTAATTAGATCTGAGCAACTTGTTTAAAATAGAAATGTGTACATGGATAATATACAAACCAAGATGTGATATACAAACTGGCCCTCACAACCTTTTTGCTGTCTCCCTTAACTCAAATGCCTTTATGGTCTAGTGAGTAAAAATGGACTTAAGAACAAAAGCTATTTGTGGATTTTATAGCTCAGAAAGGAGGAAGAAACAAGAGTCAAATGATATTGCACCCAGTAATTCTGGGTTCACTGGACATTGCAACATTTATGGGAGAGATGCAGATGTGAATGAAAACCACAAATTACAAAATGAGTTTTTGTCCCTCTAAGAACTTTTTTTTTTTTTTTTAAACCACAAATCACATTAATTAGAGAAGGAATGCTTCCTTCTGTATGTGGCTGAATTCTTTTTCAGAATAGAGAATAAACAAGTCTCATATAAGGCATCTTTCTACCAGTTTAAGTATGTTCACTCTAAGATTTGTGCAACACAGCTACACATGCGAGCCAAATACCTGCTTGATTTGCACTTACTTACTAAAATGCATACACACTTTTTATATGCTCTCGTAAGTATATGAGGCTTCACTTTACTAGACCAGTAATGAGAGAATTAAGCTAAGAATAACTAAAACCAGTGGCTCGAGCCCACTCACATTATTGTATGTATATAAACCAGCAGTGATATGAAATAGTCTCTCTTCTGGCAATGAAATGTACTGAACATAATTAAACATCTTTTGTGCAATCAAATATACAATGAATGAATGAATTGGAGCAAGCCAACTCAACCTTCTCTTTTAAAACCCTTTCATTTTGCCTGCTATACTCTGCTTCATTTGACAATCTCACCACTCTCTTAGGGTAGGTGGAAGTGAGGCTAATGTACTGATGTAATGGAGACACAGGTGGCTGGCACATAGCATAGTTAAAACCATCCCTGTTATCACTATTATCCTGCACTTGGATGTAGTCAACTATGCAATGTGAGAATTATTAACATCTTCTTCTAGGTGCATCAGGTAAACTGTCACTCAGGTAACCAATGGCTTTGCCAGAAACCGTAATCCAGCCAGCCTAAGTAATATACAGACTCAGACTCCAAACCCTGTGGAGGTTTCATCTTTGGAGAAAGGTTTTCCTCATCAGATGTGTCTGTGGGCAGCCATGGTCCAAAGGCTTATCCCTGGTCATTCCTAAAAGGCACCATGCTGCCAAGACACTGTGGGACATGTGGATCTTGCTGCATGAAACACATAGTACAGTTTTTGGATCTTGCCCTGAATATTTTTGCTAGGTCCCATATAGAAAGTACACGATCTCCAGCCCTCTACCCCTCCTGTGGTGTAGGCTCAACCCCTTTTGTAGGGAACCTTGGACCTGGAGGACAGTATCTGTAGCATCTAGAGGGAAAGCTCTAGACGAACCTCTAGACAGGAGAGCAGATGAGAGTGCACAACAGGCATCACATCTGGGATTCCACTGAATAATCTTTCTTGTATTTTTTGAGCAAGAGGAAAATCCCCAGCACAGTTAATGAGTCAAGGAGTGTTTTTTGTTAGTTTGTTTTTCTTTTTTTTGTTGTTGTTGTTTTTTGTTTGTTTGTTTGTTTTTACAAAATTCAACAAGCCGTGGTCATTTTTGTGCAACTAGCTTTCAAGAGGTGGGAAATAAACTGTAGTGTACAGAAAAAAGTAACTGTTGAAACAACATGTAATCGTTCAAGTATCTATGGAAGCTGTTAGCTTCAGCCTAATAAAAGGAGTCTGTGTAGTAGTTCATATAAAGTCGGTCTCTTAAAAACATGTCTCCTGCATCCCAATAAGCAAACTCACAGCACTACGTTTTACTTAACAGTTTTCACACGCAAATCAGTGCAGACGTGTTAGTCACATGTATGGACGTGATTAATACAAAAAGGAGGATTTAAATATATTGCTCTCATTATGTGTGTGCTGATATCTTCTGACACCATAATCCTTGCAGTCATGAGTGTTTTGTTTTTTTTTCCTTAGGGGGAGAAACCTGTATTTGTAACTAAGATGTAGGCATTTTATGGTTTTAGAATGTCTTACAGATAAAACTCTGCTTAAGCTTCTGACGTTCCTTCCCCATTCTCGTGTGGTTGCAGCTGTTCTCTTTCTTGTTCTTCTTGAGGTGGTCTCACACGTTTGAAAAAGCCCATCTGTAATTCAGAAAACAGAGAAATTGAACCGTGTTATTTTCAAACATACACACATCTTTTTCTTTCTGCATCTTGAACAGATTTTATCTTATCAGTTACTGATTCTTTTTTCCTGCCACTCACTTCCATTTGATTTTTTTTACCTCTAAGGCCAATAATTACCAGATACACAGATTAAACTGATTATTTCAGCACAATCACAGATGTTCTCTTTTTATTATTGAACTTCTCCCTGACAAAGCAGAAAAGTTTTTATGGCTAACTAAAAAAGTTAACACATTCAGGTCACCAGGAAAACAAGTTATTTCTGCAAGCTGCTGCTACTATTTGAAGTAATACACCACTGGTACTGAAATCAACCCTTAAGTAAACAATACTGTACTTACCCTGTACATAACGAGCACCAGAACAGCCAAGAGCAATAATCCTGCTAGGACAGCTAAAATTATAACCCACACTGGCACAGGCATAGGCTGTGGTTGAATGCCCCATGTAATATTTGTAGTAACCTAAAAGAAAAACACAATAAAAACACATTTTGCACAGCAGTTGAATTGTGAATTCATTCATGCATTTTAAGTACTGCTTATCTGGTTTCTATTGTAATTAAAATAATCTCAATCCAGCACAAATTAACTTTTCACTCCAGTGTGAGTAAGCAGCAATAGAATAGTGACAAAAAGGCTTCAGTGACCCAAATTTAATAGGATTTTCACAAGTTGTTTGTGGGGTTTTTTTTTTCCCCCTTCAGTCAGAGATACCATGGCAACCTGTACTGAGAATCACCAAGCATTATAGAACACAACTGCAGGGTTTTGGAAATGTTTTGAAAATTAGAGAAAAATTCTTCACTGCTTTTCTTTTTTCCCCTAAAAAGGTAAAATTCCCTTAAAATTCCTTGGCAGGAGGGATTCAAGTCCTGAAGTTCTAAGAGCTAAAAAGCAGTTAATAATAGTCATTGGCATCTATACTCTAAAATAAGCCAAGGTCCTTTTTCAGCTCTTTTACACTATAATGCACTGTAATGCCAACTAAAACCTTATTCTGGCAGCCAAATAGAGTGACCCATATCTTTCCTCCTGTTTGCACCTTGTCTCCTTTCTCTTCAGACCTCTCTAGGGCACAGACGGTCTTCAGTCTCACACATTATAATATAATCAAGGCCCAATATTTAGACTTGTAAGAGCTACTACAGAAAAGCACAATTTTCAAAATCAAATATTTCTGTAGCAAAATTGCTGTTAACAAGGATACTTAGAACTCTTCACCATGACTTCCTTTTCTCATTTTTCAGTTAATTCTTTAAAGCTACAAATAGTTTTAACTCTAATTTTAGCACAAAATATTCCCATTATTCTCAAGTGTTCTGAAATTAATGTATGAATTAAATATTTGATACAATTAGAATTAAACGAAGCCATGCATAGCTATTGAGCAATCATTCTTTTTGTACCATTCACAAAATAATTTATCTATTTATTTTTACATCCAACTCAGGGTGGATGTAAATGACTTACCACTGTGGAATTGTGAATATCTTCAAAAGAAAGGTTCTTGTAAGGGAACTCTATAACATTGAACGAAGCAGATGATTTAAGGGAATAGGAGTGATTCTGATTTTCTTTCTATATAAGAAAAACAAAATTAATATTGTGTATGTATATAAAATCACTTGTTGTGTTTCAGAAGAAGGATCATATTGTATCCATTTACTTACGTTCATGAAAGTTTGGGTCCAAAGTCGTGATTTTAAATACAGTATTGCACTCTTCCCCCTTTCCAGGTGGCCAACTTGGCAGACTATCTTTAAACAATCAGCATTTCCACAGCCCTGTGCATGGAAAATAGAAACGATATGAGAAAGATTAAAACATTTGAATATTTGTTAACGCCATTATTTATATAGGTACTCATTCTATTTGCTAGGCAATGCACCGTTAGCTATTTAAGTATGTTAAATGAAGATCAATTTTAAATGACTACTGACAGTGTTCAGTAAGTTCACATTCAGACAAATGCTACTCAAGCCAGTTCTACAGTTTTGGATCCCAAAGCTGAAACTTCTGTCAGTGCGTATGAAAAAATTTCTGCAGACTGAAGGGCATTTCTGATCAGTTTACATTACCATCCTCCACATTTGTTTCACTAGGAAAACTCAGGTCTAAGTAACTGCAACTAGTAAAACTACACTTCGCTCTTCAATGTGGTCTGACTCACTGACCTAAACTGTAAGCTACTCCTTGCAGCGAAGGCAATGGGTACAGCACTCGTCTGCTTCTGTTTTACCTGCATTGCATGTCTTCCTCCTATTAAATTCAAGAAATAGCACAATACAGAAGTAAGGCACTGAATGTCTAGAGTTCTGTTTTTGAAGGCATAAAACTTACAACAAATCTGCAGCCACACACATCATTGGATGGCTACAATGGGAATAATGCACACATTGGGGAAAAATAAGAACAAACAAAACGCATCACACAGCTCCAGAGAATGAGATTCTTCGTATGTTATCCTTTAAAACACAGAATGAACCCTAGCATGTTTTCTGAAGCAATGCTTTGTCACACAGAGCTTTCATCTCTCCATTATAAGCCAACATACTGCGGATACATCGACGTTAAAAGCTTACCAAGGTTTGCACGTCTCCTTCAATGGCAGTTAAATCTCTCCGACTGATACGATGATTGCGATTATCTTCCCTGCTAAATGTTTCATTCTTCTCATCCTCTTTAGAAGCAGAAATCTGGATAAACCAAGGAAGCCCAAACAATAATTCTTACCTTTAGATAATCAACTACTTGAACGTTCAGTTAAAACTTCAAGAAAATAATACAACTCCTCTTTCTATCTTAGTGAAGCTTTGCTTTCTGCTATAGCTGTTACCAAAGCATTACTCATGCCATTTCTTGACCACTGCTAAATTTTTAAGATCTAACAAAAAGCCTTGAATAACTTAATTCTTCAACTCAAAACATTTTCAAGTGCACAATGAACATATAAATACTTAGATGGCAATGGAAATCTGATTTTGTCATGTTCTATTAAGTATTTTTCCTCGTCATTTCGGATTTCTTAGTTCTGAAAAAAATAGCACTAGTATTGTATTGATGTACCTTATCACTGTCCGTGTGTACACAGACATATAAGAGAGACCTGAAAAAATACAGAATAAGTTTATTCCAACCTGGGAAAATGGAGTTTCTCCTCTGTTCTGTTCTTTACAAGCTACTTGTTTCAATTGGGCTTAAGTAAATATTATTTTCTCCAGCAAAACACACCTATTGACCAAGGTGGGATCTTTGGAAGTGGCTAAGCAACAGAAAAGCTACTAACATTGAAAATAAAGCAATTTTGTCAAGAAACAAAATCTAGAAAATTTACATGAATAGCCCTGAATTACTTGGAATATTTTTAAAGCTACATTCAACAGAATTCAGTTGCTTTGGTCTTTGTTCAGATAGTATGGCTTTCAAGAAAAAAGCAAAAGGAAATCTGACACAAATTTGTCTTCAATTTGGCAATCTGTTATCTACCTTTTATTTTTATTTCACCTGCCATGTACATTAACAAGTACAATCAAACACTGTGGTCTTGCTCCTCAACAATAGAGGAACACTCAACTCAGTGTGTTAGGTATTTTGATTCAGGTCTTTTTAATGTCTTTGCAAATAAGCAAACGTATTGCATTTCACTCAAACAAAAAGGAAAGTACCATATACCTTAATTTTCAATGGATTGATCTCCATATCAGAAGTGCAGTTCATGGGACCATCGATGTCATACTGAACAATATACAACAGCGTATAGTTTTTGTATTTGTAAGGCCACTGCAGAGTCATCATCACCTTGCTGAAAGCACTTGGGCCATTGTTTCTCAGCTGATTATGGAAAAAAACATGACAGATGTAAAAAAAAAACAAAAACAACCATATATATATATATATATAAAAAAAATGCATGTTGTTTATATATAATACATATAGTACATGTATATATAAATACACACACACACAGTGGTTAGTTTATATTTCAACCACAAATGATACTTACATGAAGGTCGCTACCCCCAGCAACTTAGAGCAATAACATCAACAACTTTACCTAAAAATGGTAACTGAACTACAGTCCCGCAGCAGTCAAAACTTGAAAATATTTCTGTAACACGATGGGGAAAAAAACTTCCAAGGAAAGCTTTTTAGCATTAATTTTTTCGCCTTGAAGCAATGTAGTTTTTGTAGTGTCATCATGAATCACTGCCTCTGTACGTGTCTCAGCCAAGACACCCTGAGCACAAATAACATACACCTCTAATTTTCTTTAGATAAATGGTCTCTTTACAAGTTCGAGAACTTTCACTATTCCTATTCACACAGCTCTCTCAGTTTTGTTTGATTCAACTGTCTAGACTTAAGCTGTGATCATTCTTCTAAGGAAGTTTTTAATACTTAAAATTGTTCAAGACTTTTACAATAATGATTCAGAACAGTTGGAATACTAATGAGAATACTAAATAATTTACAGCTATGAATTATTTTCTGAGTTCAAAGTACTTCAAATATTTTATCTAGATTTCAAAGCGCTAGAAAAATCTTACAGACAATAAAAGATGTGTAATGAAGTTATTAAAAAAAAATATTCTCTTGTATTTGGCCACTTCTGTTACAGTAATTGCAGGCATTCAAACCCTTCTTACAGATACTACTGATTAACCCAGTATAATTAAGTTTTTGTTTCTACAGAAGAAAAAAGTAAAACAAGATCATCTACTTCAGCAGAAAGCTACACTGAAGATTTCTTTATTCTCCTTTATCACAGAACAGTGTAAATGAAATTAGTAGAAACTGCATACCTCGTAGATATGCTGAACTAGAGGCCCTATATCATCTTCTGTTTCTGGATTCTCCTTGGGCTGCCAATTTGCAATAGGAAGGAATATGTGATCAGGAGATGACACGCTAAACAGTGGAGCAAACAGTTATAATCAGTTATGAAACATAAAATGCAGTTCTGTAGAACATCTCAAAGAAAGCAACTTGCCTAAAATACCATGTACAATTTTTTCAGCCACTATGTTTAAAAACTACATTGTCTTTCTACCAAATACTCAAAATAAGATCAGAAAATGAGTGTAGTAGAAATCAAATCATGTGACAAGTCAGGAATCTGAGTTAACTAACTAAGCAAAAGGATCTTATGGCTTTTAGCTATGGAGTATATGTTCACCAAGTATAAGAATTAAGGTTAAATGGAGTCACGATAATATTAATACCATGCTTAATATTGAAGATGGTGAAGCCACTGCAAGTTTATCTTTAGAAAGACTTAGAAATTTAGAAAAGGTTTGTGGAGGAGGAAAGCAATCTGGAGAAAAGCCTGCAACTATGAAAATGAGGGATGTGTTCCCTCCAGCACACCCCTTGCCTCCCAGAAATAACAGAAGCATAACAATCATCCATTTTTTCAATTAGCTTTGCAATTTGTCAGAATTATTTAAGATTGGCAAGTCCGAATTGTGGCTGGAGAATTACACGTTCTTTATGATTAAAAGCTCCTTATGATTTCATGAAAAATAACACAGAACTGAAAGAAAGATTATTGAATTATAAAGAAACAAACACAATGCTCGCTTGAGGGGAAAAAAAAAAGAGTATTAAAATAGTATCAAGCCTTACCCTCTAATTTCAACAGCTGCTGAAATGGCAAGGTCAACCTGATAGAATGCTACAGGACTTAGATTGTCAAACAGGTTGGAACTGCAAAGAAAAATGAAGTGAATTTGTTGAATGAAATAAACTAAGTATTAAAAACAAATATACAAATGAAAAAACATTGAAGTGATTGGATGTAACAGAACAGAACATGACACCTGAGTCACTGTAAAAGAGCAGATACATTAAACTAAAAGAGCAGACAACCAGATGGACCTCGAAGTGGCATGGTAGATAGCTGGCAGCAAGATTATGTCTAAGCTACCAACACTCTTCCACTATGCAGTGTTCTTCCAAAGCCAGGAGCAAGAGAAGAGAAGGGAATAGTATTTGTACAATGACATTAAGACTGAAAGAGACAATGTATTAAAAAAAATAAAAATAAAAATCACACCGTTGTCAGGTCAAATAATCAAGTATGCCCTTGAGTCCCAGGATGCTGACTAGGGTAACCTGACGAAAAAAATTCAGGTTTTAAAGAAAGTAGAGAGGAAACAACTGAGTGATGACACCTGAACTCTAATGAGCACTCCACTCAGAAAATTTGGACCATAACAATTGAAAACAATAGTCTTGTGTCTACTGACGAGGGAATGCATCCAGCCAGGCATACTCACAGACATGCATTTCAAACTGATAACTTGATATTTCTCTTACACGACATCTTATTACATGTATTGTTCTGCAATTTTATGATATTAAGTTTGCCACTTCTCTCAAAAGTTATTTAATTAATATGTTAGAATTAGATGTGAGAATATGTAGTGGAAATAAGCCAGATCTCATGGCTAGGTATGGAGGGATGACAATGAGTGGTAGTGGGAGGTTGTTTAAGGAAATCGCTTCCATAAAAGGTGGAAAAACATTGCAAGAACTTTCTTTCTCTTCCATCAGAAGAGGAGCAGGACTTGAGCAATCTCACATAGAAATTCTTTACTGACTGTTTACTCTCCTAGGGAAAGGTAGGTAGTGACTGCTGGTAGTCTAAGGGTGAAGACAGGTGCCCCAAACAAAATTGATTTAAGCAAAGAAACAGAGTCACATTTTACTGTCACAGCTTACGATCTGCTGGAAAAGGGGGAGAAAATTGAATAAACAGCAATGTGAGATCAAAGAGATGTTTAATGCTGCCACAAACTTTGACCGGTATGGCCAACCACTGTATCATTACAACAGAATTCCAGGCTTAAATTCAACTCCTGTAGTTGAAAAATGAATGTATATGATAATTATTTATTTACTGCATTAGAAAAAATGAAACCCTTAATTGAGTAGAGGGGAAAAAAAGGGGGTTGCTCCACTATAGGGGAAAAACAAACACTACACATTTGTGTGGTCGGTTAAGCAACAGAAAACTGAGTATAAAGATTCCCATTGATCACATCTCCAAATACTGAATATTATCAGTAGATATAAATTCATATTTATATGTCACATATTCAAGTGCTGTGCCTACCTTATGATTAACAAAACCGCTAAATACTTTGTTCAGTTTAATTTTTAGACTCTTTTACACTGGCTACTGTACAGCACATAAAATGGTTCACTGCATATTGCATCTGCTTAGACCACTGCGTGTGTTGCCCCTTCAAAAAGGCTTACTTCTCTCATTCTTGAAATACATAAAATTTGAAATTCTGCTATTAGATCAAACACTAGTTTTAAAACAGGTCTAGAAACTCAAAGACAAAAGTTATACTGCGACACTACAGTAGTGTCAGGAGATTACAGCAAGCACAAAAAACACAGTTTGTTTTGAAACACTTCAAATTACTAAAACAGCAATATTGAAACAGCCAAGTGTGCTATGGCCTGTGTAAAAGTTGTAAGCAAAAAATACATTCAAATAGAATACTCAATCTTCCCTAAATTTTAAAAACCTTAATTCATAGAAGGGTATTTTTTTTAAAATATTACCAAGCAAAGACCACACAACTATCCCAGCATGAAACCATAACTGCTCAGTTCACGACCTGTATACTCAGCACATTATCTACCAGGCAACATGCATATTCACAGATTTCCATACCTTCGTATTTGCAAGTCGAACTTCACAGAGGTATCCATTTCAGATTGCTGGTGCACACTGAAACGTAGGCCAGCTAATAGCTTAAAACAAACAAACAAAAAAACCACCATGGTCCAGTGGAAGTAAAATAAAACACCAAGTAAAAGTTTCTTAGTACTATTATACTACAATGAAATTGCTTTAGCATGAGGCCATAAAAAGAACACAATACAGAATTGGCAAATAAAATTTGTCCAGTTAATTATAGAAGTAAACATACTTCTCTCTCTGTATTGATTTCTGTCGATCCACCAATGCCCTAACACAGAAATATGTGGTGTATATCATGCTCATCACCTTGCTTGAGCTATTTGCACGTAACTGAGTATCCAGATGTGTTACAAAAATTGCTGTGGTCTGAAGAACAGGGCAAAGTTTAACATGAAAATTCACAGTTCCCAAGGTCAGTGCATAACAGTTGCTTCAATACTTGTGCAATTCAGGTTGGTTATACCCTGAAATACTTCAGAAATAGCATTTGTTAATCTGTACAGGATGCCTCTTGGAAGAAAACACTGTCAAAGCATTTATAATTGTAACTGATTTTCACTTGATTTCCTCAGAAAGCTAGACCTCTTAAGTCATAATACCTTAACATCTGCCAGGTACCACTAATTGTTTTTCAATTCCTGCAGTTTTGGCTACGTTTGATTGAAGCACAGAGTTTTCAGCTAGTCTAAATACTGGCTCAGACTTGACAAAACTAGACAGAGACAATGTTCATTTTCCATAATAAAGAGAAAGGTATATTATGAGCTAGCTGTTTATTACATACCAAAAAATTAGTATTCTATAAATCTAGAGACACGAGGGACATAAGGGACCAAAATGCATTAATTCCTCTGTTCACTGAACTACATATTTTGAGTTGCATCATGAAACTCACAAGCACACATGTTCCTTTTAATTCAATTTACTTGAGAAACTGAAACCAATTTCCATTGAATTAACCAGATGTGGGTACCTAGATGTTTAGCTGAACCTCCTGTCAGTAAACACCCTGTTCAAACACTACCTGTGATTAAGAAAAGTCCCAGCTGCCCTCCTGCTGGAACTTCTAAACACCTATTGGACCAAATCTCACCTTAGTTCCTGCTTTCATGGGATTTCCCAGGTCACAAACCACCATGCGAGTTTGATTCTCAGTTTTAAATGCACATGACAATCTTGCTAAAGCCTACAGTAAAATAAAAAAAGATTAAGGAACATCATTCTTTACACTTGACATCTCTTTAACAGGCCAGAGAAGAGTGCTAGATATGCTGCATTAATTTTAACATCATTTCTCAGTTGTAACATAATCAAGCACTATAAATTCAATGAAATCTGAATATTCAAGTTTGCAAGGAGGCAAATGTTACTCAAGTGAGACAGATGCTCTTTCCAAGGTTATCACAGGAGAAATTCAGTGCTCTTACGTTGGACAGACCTGATTATTTCAGTGATCTAAAGCATTTTTCCACTTAATTCTTTATAACCTATGTGAATAAACTTTGGCAATCAGGGAAGTGTTAAAACTCTCAGCAGAAAATACAGATCAGAAAGCAAAATAACACAAATACTCACTAGCTTACTCAACAAGAGGTGTTAAGGAGCTGTCAGATTTTTGATATATTGAAATTTGAATGGCTACCATTTGCCTAAAGACTGATAGCAGATAAAATCTGTGTGTCAGACCCCATGACACAGACTTTCCTTTGTTGCTACCAGCAGACTCAAAACTAGAAACATTTGCCAAGGTGTCAGGTAAACACAGGGCTTGGAAGAATCTTAGAGCGCTACTTTGGAGCTTTGCTTCAAGACTTCATCTTACAAAGTATCACTGATGGACTCTCTCCTGCTGGCTTCAATAGCAACAATTACTCAAAGAAGAACAATATTTGCAATTTTACCTCATTATTTCGAACAACACCAATGAAATCTGCTTGGGGAGGAACAATGACAAAGAGTTCTGCTTCATAGGCTCCTTCCCCTTGATTCTCTGCATTGACAGTCAGCGTTAAGGGATTGTCATCACCAATGTAGATCTTCTTCTGATCACTGAAGTAAAGCAAGGGTAAAATGATCAACATATAAACAAATTATGTAGCCCAACACTTGCTTTTTAACAGAGTAAACAATTATTAACAACTACATCCCTGTGCACATTTGAGTTACATGCCTACTTTACAGAAGTACAAGCACACATTTATAACAAAAGTTGATGGAAGGAAGGCTCAACTACAGAATACAGCCACACCTCTCTAATACATTTGTTCCAAATGCAAATACAGTATCTTTAAAAAAAAAAAAAAGTATTTCTATTATTTTCATGTTACCAACCAAAAATTAAGCTAAATATAGCTGCACTAATGTAAAAGGTTTCTGAAACATTTGCATGAATGAGCATACCCACACATACATGAGCAAACACTGTAGACATAACGGCATAAAATATGTTAACAGTTATGAGTAGAGGTAGTATATTCAGAATGGCTTTCAGGCCTAACAAGCAGAAGAAGCTCAGCCTCAGGACAACAACTGCAATAGAGAGCTTGTTCTTTTTTTCTTGAATATATAAAAGATACTGCCAATACTAACAAAAGGCAAAAGAAGCTTTATCCACCCATGCTGAAGAAAAACATGCCATGTTCATATTTTCATGTTCCTGTCTAGTATTAAATAACCTAACACTGGTGTAGCTACGAGTAACACTACCGTTATATCCAGGTCAGCAAACATGGACATAAAAAGCTGTGTTCAATGGTACTGGAGAGGGTACATTGCTCTCCCTGTATTACATGCTAGTGACACTTGGTTACAAAGCAGAAAAAAAGGTTTTCCCAGCAACAAACAGGTCCTACTTATTTCAAGCGACTGTTTTAACGGAAGTATTACAAAGCTCTTGAAGTCCAGAATTCAAGGTTAGAATTCAAATAGTGTTGTTCTTTTTTCATATGGCATTTTTGTCATATAATTACCTTCTTACTGAAACCTCCAGCTTTGGTTTGCAGATATTATCCTCACCACAATCCAACAGGATGTGTGCCTATGCAAAAATCAAAAGCATATTTATTTAATTATTTGTGCATAACATACCAGTTAATCAAAGAACCTGCCACACTTTTCAGCTCCAGCACTAACACCTACATGACTTGGTCCTCTTTCATTACTTGGAATCTATTTATCTTGAGTTTTTGCAAACAAGTTAAAACTTTCCTCTTTACAAACAAGAGTAGAAACCGTATACAAAAGAGCAGAAACAGAAGTTACGAGATCTGTAGAGATAAATGGCTAAAACACATAAAGCAGCGCAGCGTGAGGAATGGAAAAAACACTCCAATCCTTTAAGGGATTCTGTACTGTTATCTTCTTTTCTCCAGAAAAATGTTACACTGTACAGATGAACAAGAAATCCAGCGCTAAGGATTGAAATATTTTAAAGAAGAAGAAAAATGTCACAGAGGGAAGGAAAAAAAAGACACATAAGAAAAAAAGCATGCAAGTCCAATCTAAAGTTGCATAACTCAAAGGCTAAGGCCTAGATACATGTTTTTGTATCATAATTTTTGATAAGTGCTAAGATGAACATACGTTTTGAAAGCTGAAAATATATTCTTACAAAATCTGTGACAACAGAACATGGAACTGTACCTGTCTGCTCATATTAGCAGGAGTGAACTGATTGAGGATAGGATGCAATCCTGTTGCATCTGCAGCTGTTTTGTAATCAAGACGATATTCCATAAAAATTGTAATGGGAGTTAATTTGTCTCTAAATTCAGATTCATCCTAAGGAAACAAAAAAAATTGAATTACAATTAGAATGCATAATCAAAACAAAACCAAAGATCTTCTAGTTAACAGCCATCCCAACAGCAACACTGAGCAGTATTTTTATTTATTGATCAACTTGCAGTAGGAACTAGAAGGCTGAAACAGCATTCCAGTATCTAAGCTCTTTCCAACTAAAACATGTCTTCTCAAAGAACTTGCATTGTATACTTCAATATATACAGTTTTGGTTTTAGCAAGTATGATTTACAAAACGTAAAAGGAGAGCATACAGAAAGATTAAGTCATAAAACTTAAGCAATTAGGAGTCTTTGAGCCTGAACAATTCTACTCCTTCCTATAACAAAAAATAAAATCTCCATGTTTCTTAAATCCCTCACAGATGTTCATCTTCAGACTTCCTGAAAATATTCATTTACAATGGATTCATTCGTTTCCATACTATTCATTTCAAATAATTGTTGAGTTCATTACAGGACCTTACTTCAGATTTCTATGGACAGAAATCTATTATTAACTCTTTTCCTGACAGTTTTCAACCATTTTTGTGTTCTATTTGCAGTCTTCTCATATGGATTGTAATTGTTAGTTTCCATATAAGAATGTTTTACCAGCCAGAGTTTCTTCTCTTGGGTCAGACATTGTATTTGTGGACACCTGTCCACATTTGTAGAGACTGAAGCAAAAGTCTGATAAAAAGCATATGGAACATTTCAGCTATTTCCATCTCCTCTAATTTGCTGAGTTTTGCTTTATGGCTGAAAAATCTGTATTTTTCTTTCTCTTGCTTCCAAAGTAGAAGTACAACCCCTTCTTATTGTCTTCCAAGTTACCTGTAAATTATAACTAATTTTATGTCTAGGTGACTTGTCCATGAAGTGCTTTAAAGAATTTGAATTGAATTTCCAGTCCATTTAGTGACCAGGATCTTAATTAAAATACTAATCCTCTTCATCCTCTGGCAGCAACATTAACCCAGGAAAGATAGACCAGTTTAATAGTTCTAGGTTTATCCACTAGGCATGAAGTTTCTCCAGTAATGATTTTCCTAGAACATAAATAGATGCTCACCCTCAGAAAAGCATCAAGTTCTTCACAATTCATTTTGCCTCCCTTTGTAATAGTCATGTTCTTGGAATGGCTAGGCTGTTTGCTGTGGAGAAAGAGAGCTCTCCTTATAGCTCCCTTTTGCTTCAGTTTATCCAACAGCAGCTCCACTTGGAAATCTGTCCAATACAAAGCATTTGGATTAGGGATATTTTATCCAATTAAACACAAAGCAGATCTGCATCAGAAGTGAGCTTAAAAGTTGATTTCACCTTTTAAATAATATATAATGCTATAAATATAATAATTAGTATTTAATACTTAGAAATTGTAAAACTTTCGTTTATTTAAATACAAAATCTGTTAATACATCATTCTCAGTATAGTAACTAAGAATAAATAAGAAGTGCCACGATTACCCAAAAAACGAGCTCCGCTCATTCTTTCAAAACAAAAACTGTATTAATGTTTGAGCAATGATAAATTCATAAGTGCTTTGGAACTGCAAGAGAAATGCTTTTCCAGCCAGTAAATAGTACAGCAGCTTTGTACATAATATGTACATAATTGAACTGTGTTGCTAACTTAGCTACTTCAAATATTCAATACAGATAATGAAATGTAAAATATTTACAGCAATTTTTATGAATCCTCCCAAATCATACCTCCTATATGCATGTCATAGAGGAAATAAGGAAAAGCATTTCTAATTGCTAGTCACAACTGGGCTACAGCATGCCATCTGCCATACTATACAATCTCAAGAAAAACTTTAAAAGCTGTTTGAAGCAGTCTTTTTCTGATTCTGATCTAGAAAATCTGATCAGAAAATCAGTGATATCAATCAGAATCTGAGGATTTCAACAAAAATGTGAGACGTGCTTTGTGTCTTGTCTATATTCTTAAGGCCTAACTAAACATGTGCTTGAATGTTCTTGTTTAAAACTCTCCTCTACATAACATTTCATATCAGTTCCCTAAAATAGAAAGAATTTCTCAAGACTAATTCCACAAAATGGTGAGACATGCTTCAAGTCCCAATCACTCTAAAAACCACACTGATTTCAACTGACTCAAGTTAACAAAAAAAAAAGAAAAAAGAAAAATCCAACACCAAACCCTACTGAAGAAAGTTTTGTAGATTTGTAGTTAATGAACTGGCAAAACTGTGTTATAAATAGTTATCATTTGTTTCAGGAATGAAAGAGTTACAACTAGTACCTGTGTCTGCAAACAGGATAAATGAAGGCAGAACAAAAAATGTAATAAAACTTACTGAGTGAATTAGGGAGCTTTCCTTTGCCATCTGCTTTTAAGCAGAATTTTACTTTGAAGCTGTTTTGGAAGAAAAGAAAGGATTAATTTCACACATTTTCCCCCATCTTATTTTCTTCTAAAACTCCTTACTGTTTTTCTCAGTTCAGAGGTCTTCCGTTGCGAGACTCTAACTCAATCCCATTTATACTAGTGAAAAAAAATTGCAGCCTATTAATAAAACTGACAGCAAAGAAAGCAATGCAAAGCTTTGGGGTGCAAAAGGAGCATGGCCAGCAAGTCGAAGGGGCTGATCCTCCCCCTTTATTCTGCCCTGGTGTGGCCACATCTAGAGTACTGTGTCCAGCTCTGCGCTCCCTGGTTCAAGAAAGAGAGGGATCTTCTAGAGAGAATCCAACAGAGGGCCACAGAGGTGATTAAGGGCCTGGAGTAACTCCCTTGCAAGGAAAAGCTGAGACTCCTTTCAAAACTTGAAGTTTATGAAAATAAAAAGTTGAAAAGCTGCTTCTTCTTCAAGGAAAATAGGGATATCTTACTTACCATGAAACTTTTACATCTGACAGTGAACAGGCTTTGTTTTCTGGGTTTAGAATGGTTGGATTAACTTCCAGGGCAGCATTCACTCTAATAACTGGTCTGGCCCTAAAAAGAAGACATCCTTTTGAACAGCATTCCGCACTGTGGTAGACAGTGCCCTTCCCACTAAACTGCAAAATGCACACTGAGAAAATAATTAGTGGAAGTTCAAGAATAATGAATAATCTTGGAGTTGATTAAGGAAAAAGAGAAAGATTTTCCATACTCTTTTACTACCATCAGAGTTGTGACATGGACAACCGTGTTAAGGAAAAGTCCTTCCTATTTTCAACAGACAAATATGGTATTTTCCCCAAATGACCAAGTCTTGGGGAGAATACTGGGACTGCACAGCGTAATAGCTAGCAGCAACCTCTTTCTTAGAGTCCAGAAAACTGTCAGTCAGAAAGCTTTAAAGACAATTTTGAATCGTCTCGTAACAACAGATACATTGAGAAGGATAAATAATAAGATTACAAATTTCTCCAGTAAAAACAGCAATACAACCTTTTCCTCCTCTCCTATCTTCAGTAGTCTAGAAGACAGAATGGCAGAATTTCAGACTTCACTAATCTTGCTTTGTTTTGTAACTAACAAATGCCAGTGAGCTTTCCTTCTTTATTTACTTTTGCTTTTGTAAAAGCACAGAGTAATACACACCTATACAAAACAGCTGTGTCAACACCAAAGGCTCCAACAATCAAGTCTAAGAAAAAAGGAGAAAAAAGGGAAATAATACACATTTATATATATATATTTTAATAGGCTGTTAGTTAGAGGTAGGGCTGCTATTAATCTAAAGTGACATGTAGAGCCAAGGACCTGGATATCCATTTTTGTCCACGTCTGTGGCTCCTTTCAGTGAGTACCCAAAGCTGGGTGGCATAGTACGAGCAGCCCACTGCCCTTCAAGAATCTGAGATGGGACTGCATTCAAACCAGTTGCTCTTCCATTGTAGATATAGACAAGTCCTCTCTTGTCCTCTCCACCGTATGGAGCAGCTACTGCAATATCTGTAAAACAAAAGAACAATCTTTAACATCTTTAATATTTATGCTGATGATCTGTAATTTCTGATCTTGTGATTTTGATCTATATCAATAGGAACAGAATGTAACAAGTCTTTAATTTTTATTTATTTATTTTTAAATTGTATGCTAGGATATCCTAAGAAGTTAGCAAGAGCATACCAAACTTTTATTTGGGTGTGGAGAGTAAGAGGAACAGTTCTGCAAATACTTATGCACTTCACTAACTCACAGATGGATCAGATGGATTTGGGATAGTTTTGAGTTTATTTAACACCCAAAATTAGTCACTGCTGGAAACAAATCAAAAAAGTAAGTAGAACTATTTGTCCATTTCATTAACATGCTCATGTTCCCCCAAAGGGTGTGGTATCTTAATAGTTGTGGAAGACTCTGAAATCAGCCTAAACAAATGTTAAATATTGAATTCCAATCTACTGGTATCAGGGCTTGGCCATTTACTTTATGGAGAATCTTCAGTTACGTCAGTTACATTCTCTCTTTAGTTTAATATGTTTGTGAGCACTTAACAGTTAACAATAAACAGTAATAAATGAAATGCTAATAATCAGACTCCACAGGAAATAATACCTCTAAAAGCAGCTTTAGAAGTGTACTGGCGACCTAAAGTAAATGTTTCCCCAGCAGGTTCAAAGCTTTGCTTAACATGCAAGTGTTTAAATACTTAACAAGATACAGGAGAGTAATTAAATGAGTCCCCATTCTTCTCCTGATTTTGAAAACATTTCTGAAGAGAACAAATACCTTACCATTTCATATTTTAAAACTCATCTTTACAAACTTTACACAAACAATAGAAATTTCAATCTTGAACCATACTGTGATGAAAAGCATTTTAATTAGCACTCCCAAAGTGGAACAGAACAATAAATGAATAAAGTAGATCTAATAGTGGCATACTAATTACACTTACAACAAGGAAGATTTTCGCTATGATTTTCTCACCTATATGTATTTCAGACTGAAATATGATGGAATGAAAGCATTGTCTGGATCATCTAATCAAGTGAACAGTTTTTGTTTTTTTTTTTCTTAGCTGTAACCTTTCCAATGTCTTTCATGAATAGGTGCAGAGATATTGAATCCTTGCACTAATTCTCTATACTACCACTGACTAAAAAAATTTAAGTATTAACTTTATCATATTAAATGGCATAAAGTATTTCGAGCTACCATACATGTGGTACCAAACTGGCACATTGCAAAAGGATTCTGAAGTTAGCATGCTCATACTCGGCCTAAAATCAGATTTTTATCCAATAATGGCTAAGTTAATTATGTAAATTGCTAAGTAAAATGCTAAAACAAATATTTATTTATGAAACGTGTTCTCCTAGAACCCTGAAAGCCTCTGACCCAAAACTATATAACTACTGGCTGTTGGTTTGTTGTCCACGCCCAAGTCAAAGTTACAAGAAGCACTGGCCAAAGGCTTAGGATTCCACACTTTTGGTCAGAGTGCACACCTACGCTCAGGAAACCCAGCTCTAGGTGCAGTTGGCTGTAGTTGTCACAAAACATTTTCAGCAGACTTTTCAATTAAAATATATATATTTTAAAATCTAGACTTTTCTCAGGAAAATCTTTTCTATTGAAACAGTTTTAACCAACTCTTGGAAACATTCTCCAGTCATCTTTGTGTTTCTGGAGAGAAAGATTGGCTTTAAGCAATGGAAACAGGTAAATTGTATTGAGGATGTCCAAACAAATTACAGTGGAGACTAAGATACTTAACCAAAATATCTACTGTACTTATCACCTAGAAAGAAATACACTTCCAGCATAACAACTAAAATAATCCATGCTGTAGTTTAAATGGTATAGTCTCTGCTCGATGCATACATGTAACTCCTGTTAGCATTCTTGGGAGTAGCATACAAGCATCGAAAGGAGTCTAGACCTTAGTGTCCAACATTCACTCATGGTTAGAATTCTTAATGTTTGCATGCAGAATCCAAACTTCATGTTGTCTAGATTTAATCTATAAACTTAAAATTCTGGTCAAAAATGATGTCCTACCATTAAAGCCATCCTGGTCTAGATCACCCAGGGGTGCAATAGCACTGCCAAATCTTGCAAATATCTCAAAACCATTCAGCTTTGCGATCTGAAACCCTCCAGAGGCTCTTTGAAGACAAATGGAAACTTGGCCGACCTCTTGAAGTTTCCCATCAGAACCTCGATCCATAAAGAGTGGGGCTCCAATAAACAAATCTGTGTAACTGAACCAAAGAGGGATAAGGTTCTTTTAATAACAGCATGAAAATCCAATTTGATTTTCTCAAGTATCCGTTAGCAGGAATAATTCAGCACTCAAGCCAGTGTTAACATGAAAGTTTCCCATCATTGAATTGCAACAGAAGGCAAATATTTATGGCAAAGGAAGCCATATAACAAACAATTTAACGCATTTAAAGCATGTGAATACACATGCATTTTTGTAAGTATATAAAAAACGAATCTAAACTTGACAAAATGTTGAAGTCTAGTGAAAAAGTCTATTGTATAGATACAATTCACCAAGTTAAACAAGATAAAAAAAGCATATTATAAGCGTTTTTTGTTTGTTTTTAAATCTTTGCAGAAATATTGGGTGGAAAGGGGGAAAAGGAGCCCACTTACTCGTCCCCATTGATATCTGTGGCAGCCACTGAATACCCAAAATAGGCAGCCATCTGGAAAACAAAATTCAAAACAAGTTTTTGAGTTCTAATGACATAAACACACAAGAAAGCTTGTGCAAAGCTTTTTAGAAGTGATATTAGGGAGATGATTATATATACCGTAAAAAAAAAAAAAAATCTCATTTTTGTCTTCAGTACTCTGTTAGAAGGTCAACTTGTGAGTTACCTTCCCCATTCTGCCTTTCATGATCCAGTACTCCTTCTCAGTTATCAAAATAGGCAGCATTTGCTCTACCCAGTTAAGATTGTTTTTCTCAGTTAAGTGTCTAAGAATCATAGAACCATTAAGATTGGAAAAGACCAAGATCATCTAATCCAAACATCAGCCCATCACCACGTCCATAAGTAGCATATCTACCCTTTTCTTGAAAAACTCCAGAGGCGGTGACTCCACCACTCCCCTGGAGAGCCTGTTCCATAAAACAAGAATAGTACCATCAAACAAGAAGAACAGTACCATAAAACAGGAACAGGCAGAACTTACAATTCCTACACACGTAAACATTTTTTTGGCACTGAAGCTAATAACATAGGGAATTTTACATAATCTAGTACCCAAAATAGTTTCTTAACGTATCATTTCTCATTAAAAACAGCCTCCCTGTCATCTACCACACTGAAGGAACATACCTGCTCTCCAGTGAAGTTGTACATGGAGGACATGTTTTTCCCATTGTAGATGGACACCTGCACGTGAGAAAAAACACATTATGGCAAAGCAACAACTTTAACCATTTCATTTATTATGAAATTAACTGCTTCAAATTTCCTACCATGCCTAGAGTTCTTGCTGCTCTTGGGACTCCTGATACAAAGTCTGAAATACAAAACAAGACACCCATATAACATTCAGTTTCCAAAGCAGAATGCCTTCTTTTGTACAGGGTAGCTCATTCCTAGTGCTTTATACGTTTTCCCTTGCACTTGATCATTTGTTCTACACCACTTATTTGAAAGTCCTGCACAGTGAATTACCATTTTTTACTGAAACAACTATCTTACCTTCTATGCCATCACCACTGAAGTCTCCAACAGCCACGGAATAACCTGATTAAGAGAAAAATCAGTAAATCACTTCAGGAACATTTTCAAGCCTTTCACCTCTCTAAACTTTTCACAAGTCTTGACGCACAAGTCTCTTGCTTCACATTGAAATATAATGAAACAATTTTTTGCCTCTGAGTAGATTAGATGATGAACAGTTACACAAGCAGACTGTAACTCATCAGCTTCTGCGTGAGAAGACAAATTCAGTGGGTGAATTTAACAAACTTTGTATACCAGGTCTTTTATGATGAGAAGTGTGCCAGGCAGTTATTTAGAATGAGTACCTGGGAAATGTCCACATTCACCCTTAATATTTTTCTGAATGCAGTTCAACATAGGTAAAGCTAAATGGTAACTTACTACTTGTCAAAGGCAATCTTCTCATTAGCCTTCTTTACAAACATGATTCTGTCCCATTTTTGCTTCGTTTTGATATGTTATTTAGAAACAACTACTTTTCTAAAACAAATAGCTACGTGAGTAACTTGCCAGGTAAATATCATACCTGATAAGTTGTATTAGGCCTAAATTACAGAGCACCAAAATGTACAGAAATAGTCCCGTTTATTTTGTGATCAGCTGGTTTTTGAGTCAAGATTATGGCAAGGTAACTAAGCTTCTTTCATACAGGCATTACAGCATTTTTGGCTCTCTTCTCATCTGCCAAAATTTAAATTCATACTGTGGTCTACAACTTAATAGAAAGAATAGCACAAGTGTGAATAGCACAAGAGCTTTCGTGTTTGTTTTGTTCGATTGTTTAAGTACAACAAGATTTACCTCCCTTTCAAACTACTTACCCAAGTAGCTGTCATCAAAAGCAGCACTAGCAGGTCTGGTTGCTAACTGGTCGTCATATTTTGTACTGTAGACTTTGGAGTCATATTTAGCCACAATCTCTGTCACTCGATCAGAAATGAGCTGGCCTAAAGATACAGAAAACAGCTTAAAACACATGTGCACGCATACAGTAAACAAGACAGATTTATGAGATAATTGCTTATAAAGCAGCAGCTCTTCCACAATACTGATCAGAAAACAGCCAACAGCAGCAACACCAGAAAGGATAAAAATGGGAATCTGGATCCTACTGCAGCAAACATTTATGCACATATTTAATCAAAAGCTCATGACGTGTTTTCACTGAAAATAGAAGCCACTCCTATATGTAAGGCAGGACTTGAACGAGACTGCTCAGTTAGGTAGAAGTAAGCATATGCTTGTGCTATTTCAGAGCTGAGTCATCCCGCTCTTGTCTCAATTCCATAGAATAAGAGCTTAGTATGGCAGTAAACAAGCTATTAACAAGCTAGTGCTTTACTGCCTTCTTCCTGTTCTCATTTCACTAGCCACTAGATGGTGACTTCATCACATTCCTTTCTTTGAGTTTAAAATTAGATTGTATTGCAAGACATTTTTTTCCAGGAGAGCACTGACTTCACATTTCCAGATGTGTATGCAGCACAGGGACAACTACTCTTCTAGCATCTCAGAACGTGGGGTAAAGGTATAGTTTTCAGAAGTATGCTATTGCTATCTCCTATTCAGAGCTGAGATTTTTCTTCAGTAGTAACAGAAGAGAATAAATAGTTCTAACAGATGAATTTGAATCTTTGCCAGAAAGCAATAAGATGAATATAGGTACATAATGTATATCGTATTCTGTCTGCAGCTGAATTTCAATCATTTCATTTGGTTTGGAGTTTTGAACATAGAACTAGAAAGAAGTCTCCTGTGATGCCAAGTCTACGTGTTGCCTGGCATTATGCAGAAAATCTTTTAAATATTTTGATATTTACATTATAAAATGAAGGCAACAGATGTTGGCAATTCTGCCCTGGTTGTAACAACCATCTTCCAAACTGAGGGCTGCAGGTAAATACTGCAAGACCCAGCAAACAACTACTCACTGAAGCCCACATTTACAAAATATGAATGAAAAGATGTTAAGAAAATTGAAGAGGTCATCCTATTCTGTAAGTTAAACAATGTATCTTACCTTGCCAGTAAAAACTGCCAGGTCCTCCAAGCAGGACTCTGTCTCCCTTGGGGGAAAAAGTAAAAAGGGGGAGGGGAGGTAATCTTCAAATTAATTATTTCTAGAGACCAAGAGAACACGTCCTGTATTCATGGGAATCAAATAACCACATGCAAATACATTGCATGTAAATAAACCACACGTAAATAAGTTGCAGCTTCACTGACCCCCCTCCACCCCACCCTACACATTTTTTGAAGGAATGATTGATTAATCCTAATTAAAAATGTATACACTGTAGAACACTAAGATAAACTAGAATATCACTTCAGTGACTTGCTTCTCTATAACATCTATCTAAAATTATCAGCGTCATTTTGCTTTTTGTTTTAGTAGAACTTCATATCCAAGTAAGGCAACAAATAAATTTGGGGGAGAGTATAAAGATTGCTACAAACCAATATGATTTTTGGCCAGTACCCAAAACTAGACTCATCTTCTGCCCCTCTTTTTTCTACAACTTCTTGTTAGTAATTCAGAAAAGCTGTAATGTAATTCCGCTAATCCATATTCCTTAGTAGAAATGCAGTCCACAAACCATTTTAAGCAACTTGAACCACATTAGCTATCCCAGTGCTGGGAATTTGCTCCATAAGTACTTTACTCAATCAGGCCATTGGCTTTGCTACATAACAAAGCCACTTATCCTCATTTTCATCTAAAAACTCCCACATTCACCTCTCAGAACAAAATAGGTCAGAGATTTGGAAACACCAGTCTTGCCAACTCAGCTAGTGGAGTCCAGCATTTGTTTTAACAGGAGCTAGAGTCTGCACAGTAGTCCTGAAGGGTACAGGCAAAATAAATGAATACTTCTAGGCCAGTATTTACACAGTCTGTGGAGCAGAAACAAGGGTATCTTCAGGCAAAGAACAAAGGAGTATTATGCAATATAAGGTTTGAAAAACCCAAACGATTGCCACATCGCAAATGGGTCTTACCAGGCCCAGATAATGCTAAACAATTTAAGTGATAAAAAAATGATGATAGAAGAACTATTGTTAGTTCTGAGATTTAGGCACAATGTTATTGTGAGCAGATTTAAAAAGTTATTCTGAATTTAAAATATAGGTATATTAAAGGGGAGGAGAATATACTATAGAAAAAAAATATAATAAAGAGGGCAAAAAAAGTCTATTTCTCCTAGTCACTGAGAAAAACAAAGCTCCATTCACAAGAATGCTGTCTGCAAGTTCCTTTCAGCAGTGAGTTACTTTTCCTCAACAAGTACCATTAGCCATGCACTAGTCCTTCCACAAAAAAGGGTCTGAAGACATTTTACCTGAGTACTAGCTGCAGCAGGGCTTCATAGCAGGAGGCTAGAAAACTGGATTATTTATTTTTGACATGACTCCTACAAGTGATAAGTGAGCTGTTATGAAGGTGTAGGGAGAAACGTGTTTACACTACTGGAATGATTTGAAGGGATTGTTGTTAGTTTACGAGGAGTTTATCGTTTGCTTTCTCTCCCCGGCTCGACCAGGAATGGTGGTTTACATGTAGTTTCATAGTGTCTCTGCTTGTACGCGGTCTGTATCGGGATGGTTGTTAAATAAGAACCATCTGCTGAGAAACAGGAACTAAGTAACAATCACATACCTTTGTAAAGTCAATACTAAATCCACCTTGACAAAATCCTTGCCCATCTGCATCAATAGTGGCTAAAGAACAGATATAGAAGGAAAAAAAAGAAAATCAAAGTAGTAAATCAGGTTGTTTTGTGGATTCTTCCCAACATTCTAGGTAACACTGCACTCCTGACCTTGAAGTTTGTAAACTTATTTCTCTTGAATTAGTATTTTCTCTTTGCAAACAACTCACCATCAAATGCTGTAATACGTTCAGGGCTGGCCTAACATGTATTCTAACCTTAGCATACTTTCCAGCCTATTTCAGTCTAAATAAGCAGCAACTGCATATTTCTTCTGGATTTAATCTTAAATTATCAAGAAAAAGACGTTCCTTGTTTTATTCAGGAAACCATGGAAAATATAGAACAAGGTTTGCTTTTCTTATGGCAAAAAATTAAAATTGAAATGTAAATAACGATAGGATATTTGAAGTATTACTCAAAAGAAAAGTTGCATACCTGGCTGAAAAAATCCCCACACACTGAGACTCATTTACAGCTGGCTTAATCTTATGACTACATAGCTCCAGAACAGAAATGCAGACACTCATCTAGAATCGTGACTAACTGAAATTCATACTTTCTTAATTAACCTCTTTTCCTGTTGGACCACAATGGATTTCAACCCTGCCTTTCACTAATGACTTGGGGAAAAAAAAATAAAAACAAAACTTAATGCAAGTGCTCAACCTTCAGACTTGCATAGTAGGAAAAGAAAAAGAAAAAGAAAAAGAAAAATAGGGTTATAAGCTTTTGAACTGTATATCAACTCAACTACACAGTAAGGATGCAAAGCATTTGGAGAGTAAGACTCAGCATTGAACAATGAAAGTAATTAAAACTGTGTCATCATGTATATACACATTCATGGAAATCTGAAGCTTCCTCTGCACAATTTTGTGCAAGTGAGCTTTTTCTTTAAGCTGCATGAATAATTAAGCTTCAGAAATGTCTAGAGATGGTCGACAAGTGCCAGATGTGCTGTCCTAATATTATGCCAATCAGACAGCTGTGAAGAGCATAAAGTAAAATATTATTATGATTACTGCACTGGCTACAGAGGAACATCCACATCTCAAGAGGAAGAAAAAAGGGCTTAGTTTCAACGTGAGAGCCATTGCTAGTGAAGTGGTCAATAAGAAGTCTGGCATCTTCTGGTTCCAATTACATTTGAATCAAAGACTTTCCTCTGACCTACAGTGGAGAAATAAGGTCTGGACCCTGATCATCAGTTGGAGAAGAATCCAGATATCTAAATGTAGTTTAGTTTATTTCAAATTGCTATAAGGGGGAAATACCTGTAAAACTTCTTTCTTCAGATATACACAGAACGTAACGAGAAAAATTCCTAACACAAGCACAACAAATCACTTACTTGACCTGCAGGGTGCATATTCCACAGATTTGGATCCAGTGAGCAGGTAACAAGTTCCCACAGGCTCTCGCTCTTGTTTTGTTTCAGTTCTCCAGTGATACAATGGGGCACAAGCCTAAGGAAGAAGACAGCAGTGAGAAAAAAATCTCCTTTTCAAAATGCTGGGAGGTGCAGACTAGAAGCACTAACACTATGGAATTGCCTTATTTTTTATTTTTTATTTTTTTTTTTAAACAGAATAGAAACCAAAGACATTTTGACAGATGCACCATGGATTATTGGAGATTTTGTTCGAGCGGAAATATTTATATTTTTACAAGGAGCTGACTTAAAGCCAAACATTTAGAAATAGTATTTTCTTCAAGCAACATTTGTAAGGAGTTCTTTGAGAATTCAAAACACATTTTAACTTCAGAAAATGAATTCTACTACTCTTCTCAAAGCCAGAGAAAATTGCTACAACCTTTGTTGATGAATACTTTAAAATTCTGAAAAAGACAAATCAAGCTGATTAGTGAAGTATCATTTAAATTCTGAGTCATTAAGATCCTTCTGTATCTTTTCTACTACAATACAGCAGTACTGAAGCATCTGAAAAGCAACAAAAACTTACCAAAATCTTATCATTTTTGGATCTCACAGATGCTCCAAACCACTGATGAGACTTAAATTCCAGTGGATCATCAGGAGCAAAATCTCTGTTGCCTACAAAGAAAATGAGGAAGAAGCATAATTTCATGGTGAACTGTTACAGTAAAAATTTAAAATGTTAGGTCACTGATTTTGCCACACCCAGAAAAAAGCAGAAAACAGTAACACTGGAAGACATCATCCTTCTAGCAAAATAAGATTTCAAAATGACTTATTGATATTTATTTTTATAATCTAGGCAAAATGCAGCTATTTTTAGTATTGTAAGCATGCAACAGTTAGAGAATCTTTGACAGGAACACAGTAAATATCTCATAGTTCAGATATTTGATTTTCAAGTCAGATTACAGCACTGGTCAAGAATCAATGCCAAAGCTAAGTTAAGAATGTGCTTCTAGAAGAAACATTATCCTGATAAAGTTACGTTAATCTTCCCATTGGCTGGAGTCAGGACAGAAATTCATCTATTATTCTGTTGAGTGTTAACATGTCTATTCTGAATGTGACTGCAGCACACAAAGGCAGCAATCAGCATTCTTACAAGTTGTGAGGCAGACAGTAATAGAAATGGTAATGAATTTGCTCATAGAGAGGAATAATTTCAGTTTGCTCTGTTCAGTGAAGTTTGGTAGGTGCAACTTAGCGAGTGGTGTTTTGCACTGTTACCAATATAAGAAGTCTTTAAAATGTTTCATATTTCTTATGTGCTTTCAATGGAAAAAGTAGAAACTTTCCCAGCCTCTTGAGAAAATGATTGTAACACTCTGAATTGTTATTATTTTTTAAAACGTTGCCCAAATTGCTGGTTTGCAGTGCCTAAAAGCCAAAGATTCCAAGAGTTCACCAGCCCTACATCACTTCCACAGACCGGAGGGGAACCCCAAGCCCAACCTTGTTATGAATCAGAAGCTCTAGTGCTCTAGACCTGTGACCACTTGAATCACAACTTCCTTGCAAGTCAGACACCTCAGAAGACATGCTTTGTCTTGAGAGGCTGTGTCACTTCCATTAGGAAAATCCCACGAAAAGTACAGTAAGAGCAGTTCTTATCTTCAATCGGCCAAAACAAGCCAAGACCTGGACTACTCTCATTTTGCTCTATTATCAGAACTACACAGAAGTCAGGGCCAAGCACATAACATCACAGAGAACTATTGCGTCGTGTTTTCTTTTTTTCCTAATTTCAAAGGTAATGAGAAGATGAAGAGAAAAGAAGAAAACCTTCTGTCCTCCTCTCCTTCACTTTCTTACTGAAAAGGTGCTCTAGACAGGGAGGGCCTGATGATTAAGCATATCTGCACAAATATACACACACTGTATACTGTCACAAGATGCTCAGACAAATGTAGTTTGAAGGTCTGCATGTCACCTCCTCACAAAAAAAAGACCTAAAGACTGCACAAATTATTTTCAAATACGGAATGTCTTGAGCACACATAGAAAGTCTCTGTTTTGCTGTATCTTACTCTTTCCTCGCCTTTAACTCATGAAAAAATGTGGACAGTTTTGCTAAAGGATGCAGCTGCTCCCAGAAGGAGTAGAAGTTTCCATGTGATGCTATCCATACGTTCCTGCTGCCAACCTTTGTCATAGCCCTACTCCCTTCCGGCCACATACACAGAAGGAGCCCTATAGAAAAAAAGAAGGTAGATCAGGGCCAAACCCTGCTAACTGCAAGGAGAGGGAGGCAGTGCTGACCTCCTGGGGAGAAGGCAGGGATACAGGGCTGGGATCTAAATCCTTTCTGGCAGCATTATTGGTTTAAACTGGGTTTATTCTCATTCTAACACCACACCCAAGGTTACACAGCCTAAAGACAGATCTGGCTTCTACCCTCTGTTTGTCTAGCTACTCTCAAATACAAAGCCACCTCTCAGTTTTACTTGCCAAACAAAGCACTATGCTTTAAAGAATATTAATCTTGTTGGGAACAATTACTTTATGGAGTTTTATGCCTTTGTCTGCTCTTGGATATTTATGCAGCACTACCTATTTATGACTACAATGGAAAGTAGTATAACAGTTTTATACTGTAAAGTGGAATCCTATCCTAAATCTTATAAAAAAGTGGAGGATATAGAGACTTCCACTGTAAGCTTCAAGCACTAGACAATAAGTAGAAGTAATGACCTTGTCAGAATAGCAGGTAAGCCGCCATAGAGGGTTATCAGCAAGCTGATTTTACTGTACACATAAAGGAATTTATTTCCCTCCAGTTTCAGTTGAATGCATCAGCTAAGACATAATGAGGTGATAAAAAAAGACAGATTATTGCTTAGTGGTGCCATCCATCCACAGACTATAGTGATAGCACTGGAAAGATGGGAAGCAATTGTTCATCCAGCACACGCTGCCAGAACAACAGCTCTCTGCCTTTTCCCATTGTATTCCTGAGCTACAGAAGCTCCAGGGCTGCCCACACCAAGGAAGAGGCAACATCCAGGATGGCAGCAATAAACAACTCTTCCTCTTCAGGCTTTCAGTGAAGACATTTTTTTCTACAGTATTTAAAAGGCCGTAATTCTGCTTTACATTAAGGATAATATTAGAAAAATGTCATCAAAATAAAACTGAAAGATGAGCAACAAGGCTTTGAGATACAGTCAGAAGCTGGCACAACCCCAAGTCAATTATGTTTCAAGTAACATGACATCAGAAGCCAGCATCATGATCTCTGAAAGATTAAAAAAAAAAAAAACACACCTGGAAGTTCATATAAAAGAAAAACTAAAAAAAAATCCATAGCACATACAGTAAAAACTGCTCCTTTAGACACCTTAGCTAATGTCAGTGCCCATGCACATAATATAAAACACCTGATTCAAGGATAAAATGCCTCAGAGTGAGTTAATCCTGTATTCAGTGCTTCACTAAGTGAAGGCATTCTTTCCAAAGAGAAGAATGTTCGGCTGGGCCTAAGTTTGTTAGAACACAAAAATCTAAAATCTAGTGGGAAAAAACCTAAATTAAGTGAAAATAAAAAATCTAAATCAAACGAAAAATAATTTGGAGGCACAGACTTTTGACATAAACTGTGAATGTTAAAATACAGGCCTACTCTTAACTCTCCTTAAAGAGGAAAAGTTACTTTTATTTGTCCACCCACTTCCCCTAAAAATTCCCCATAGGAAGCAAACCACAGAGAAGTAGATCATGATTCTTTCTCCCAGCTTTAGTTTTCCCAAAGAAATACCAATTTTATGAGGAAATCCAGAAAACACCTTGCCATCAAAAATTCCCTTGCTTTGAATAAGAAACCATTTGTGTTTCTGTTCTTGACTGGGGAAAACAAACATAAAGAACACGTGAGTCTTCATTGGAGCAAATCAAAGTTAAATAAGGTTTATTAGCTTTACTGTGAAGCTAACTGACATTGAGACGGACTTTGATGTTTGTGTATTAGTAGAAATCAAGGGCCTGGTTTTGTTATTGTTTTATCATTGCAAAAGTTTTCAGTGGGGAGGAGAGAAGGGAGAGGGAAGAGAGCAGAGAAAAAAAAGCCTCCCTCTGTTAAAAACAGGAGCTGCTTTAAACAAAGCAAACTAATACAGATAGGATTTAGACATACAGGGATTTATAAATCCAAGCCAGTGTTTTGATGTAACATAGTTGCCTTTACTGCTGTGACAGTTGTCATAGCCACTGATGTTTTGCTTCTATTTCTCATGTCCTTTGGAGTATCTGAAGAAAGCCTTATTAGTGCCTTCACACCAGTGCTGTATAATGTAAACCAGGCATTCAAGCAAATATGCCAACTAATAGAAACTGGATTCTGACTTTTTTTTTTTTTTTTTTTTTACTTCCAATTTCTTCTACAAAAGCTATTTTTTTTAGATTAAAACACAGCCATTCCAGGGACTCCTCCATCATGGCTCATTAATTCCAAGACTGTGTCATTTGACTGTAGGGTTGTATCTGAGAAGACAACTTATGCTGTGGTTTTTCCCTTTGCTCCTTCCCATTGTAGTAGGCATCATATGATGATTTCACATGTCTTTTTCAGTATGGATAAAAGGCTGCCATGGCAAGCCAACAGTGCTTTGTCTCATAAAATTCCCTCCTTGGGGAGGGGGTGTGAGATGGCAGTGATGGTCAAGGTCAGGAAAATTCCACACATGAGTGCTCCTGGACAGAGGAGCATCATCACTTCACTAGATTACATAAGATTCAAAATTGTCAACTTCAATACATGTAATTACAATTTGTGAAAAACAACGTGAAGGGATGCTAACTAGAATTAATAGTCTAAATCATCTTCCAAAAGAAAATAAAAAGATCAAAAGCTTTTTCAAAGCTGATTTGCTTTTGGCTATCAGCTTTGGGTAGCTGCTGCCTTCTATTTCCCAATGCAAAAGTTACCAGTTATAAAGATAGTACTATAAAGTGACAGGAGCTGTCTCTAACTTGTAGCCTCTCTGGTTTTTGTATAGTAATGACAGAACTGCACTCATCCATTTACTCTTGCTCTGGAGTGCCAGTCTGAACTGAGACAACCGTGAGACAAGAAGCAGTGAACTGAAGAAGCCTGGCTCAGTATCAGCATGCTATAAGCACTCACGAAGTTGTGAACCTTAAATAGCCACCCAATTCACCATATTTCTGTCAAAATAAACTTCTTTGTAACAAACCCAAAGTAAAGGATGTTGCCAGTTCTAGGTAAAAGGAAACACAATACAGCTAGCCAGAAGAAAAACCTTATAAAACACACCAGCGTACTATTATCATAAGCCAGAATTTGACACAGCAGAAAGCCAGCTATCTGACATCTAAAACCTCAGAGATTTCACCCCTAGTTGCAGGCAAGAAGGAGCAAGTCCAAGTTTAACTTCACCTGAAAGTCCCGATGCCGTGAGGCAGCTGATGACTCACAGGGTTTAGCAACAGTGCTTTGATACTGGCTCAGGATACAGAGGAACACAGAGATTCCCACTACTCCCCTTCCCTCTCCTGAGCTATGAATCCTGTTTCTCTCTCTGGGCAGAGCTGGAACAACCAGATCTTTTCCTTTGCCTACTATAACTAAGAGCCTTTTTTTTTTTTTTTTTTTTTTTTTT